CATTGCATATTTCCTGCAAGGTCAATGAATCTTTAGTTGATCAACTAGCGCATAGATCCTCTCTGTCAATAAAAGAAAAAGAAAAACTAGTGCCTGGTCCAAAAACATTATGGATTGCATGGTATTGACAGAGATTATCAAGTGTAAGGGCAATCGTTTCCAAATTTCTCTGAACATTTAAGAACCTGTGTCATTATGATCGATGCACTACCAATGCTCTCAAACTCTTTTAAGGCTTAATTTTCTTTTTAAGTATAGTGAACGAGGATGCATTATTAGAAATTAAAATATATGTTCCCGACATGTATTACATAATTTCAGCCGTCCTACCATTGCTCCCTGTAGGAAACTATGCCCAGTCTGTTTCTATCATGTACATGCCAAACTGCCAAAAATGAAGTTTCAATTGATGAGTTGTTTTTCTTCATAGCCCTCATATTTTCAGAACTTGAACTAGACAAGGAAAGTTGATGTTGCTTGGCACAACTGTCCTTTATGGGTAGTTCATATTCTCTGGCCATTAATCTCATAGCATGTTTTGGTTCATGACTCTCTCCACTCAGGGACCTGACTACATGGCGAAGACAGCAAAGGAATCTATGTGGGGGATATTGCTGTTTTTTATAATTTCCAACATCTTTGGGATGGGCAGAACTTGTCGTGCACCATCATTTGTCATTTGCTTTGGACTTAGTTGTATGTTGTTGTTGAACTGCCTGTAACTGCAGGAATGTTTAGTGCTTTACATCGGTAATGGAGTTATGTTTGATATTTGAGTTAGTGTCGGTAATGGAGCTGCCAGTATATATTCAGCAGGCTTCAAAGTGACTAGCCAATGTAATTAATTTTTATGTAATGCCATGTACAATGAAACTGCAAAACAAATGATGTGTTAGAAACAAGATTTAGGGTGGTTCTATATTTGTAGTTCAGAAAGCATATTTCTGCCCCTGCAAAGGAAAGAAAGAAAGCATGTCTCTCAAGGAGCCTGAGCCTAATCCTCCAGTCTAAAATAGTCAGAAGGCTAGTGCCGCATAACTAACCTTACTTGGGAAGGTCCTGTGTTGGACATTTTGCCTTGGTTTTATGTTGTTTTATTCTATTACTCGCCATAAGATGAGTAACAGAGAGAAATTCACAGTTTTAGGAATGTGTTTTTGATGTGCCATGTGCATTATTGGCGATTTTATATTGTGATGGTATTGCAATCAGATGCACATCTCAATTTTATCAGTGCTATATGTTCAGTTTCTGATCCAGAAGCTGGGAGCTCAAAAGTACTTATATTCAACCAATAAATCCAGAAGCTGGGAGCTCAAAAGTACTTACTCAACCAATAAATCCTTTCAGTCCAGGATGTGATTTCGACCCTCTGAAAGACTGCACTGAATCCTTTGTGCTGCCATCTACAACCGTGCGACCTGCCTCCTTGTTGACACCACTGTCATCCATCAACTTTCTCATTTTCTCCGACTCCAACCATTCTCCAGCTGAAGCATAGATGTTCGAGAGGAGCACATAATCCCCACTGTCATCGCTCCTCGCCTTTAGCAGCTGTCTGTTAGCGTGCTCAGCCAGTTCAATCTCACCATGGACCCTACAAGCCCCAAGAAGCGTCCTCCAGATGACAGAATTAGGCTCCACCTTCATGGTGTCAATGAACTCAAATGCTTCCTTCAGAAGCCCCGCGCGACCCAGCATGTCAACCATGCAACCGTAGTGCTTGACATTGGGCTCAATCCTGTACTGCTGTTGCATCAAGTTGAAGTACTCACGTCCCTTGTCAACCATACCACCGTGGCTGCATGCGATAAGGACAGCGACGAAGGTGATCTCATCAGGCTGGACTTTCTCTTTCAGCATTTTCTTGAACACGTCAACAGACTCCAGGGCATGACCATGCAATGCCAAACCTCCTATGATAGAGTTCCAAGTTGAGACATCCTTATCTCGCATCACCCAAAACACCTCCAGTGCACTCTTCATGCTCCCACATTTCGCGTACATGTGAATCAGCGCATTGCCGAGGACGACAGTAAAACCAGTTCCTGAGAACTTCTCTGAAAGAGAGGAATGCAACCTTCGGCCGACATCTAAATCACCGGAGTCGGCACAGGCTGACAGTAAGCTCAGCATTGTGATAACATCTGGCTTTTTGCCCGTGCGCTGCATCTGCTCAAACAGGTCCATGGCATGCTTGTGCGAGCCACATCTCACATACCCAGAAATCATGGCGTTCCAGCACACAACATCACGCTCAGGTGCCCGGTCGAACAGCTCTCTTGCTGGGGCCATCTCCCCCCGCTTGGCATATGCGGTGATCATCACGTTCCAGGACACAAGGTCCTTCACAGGACACTCGTCGAACAGATCCCGGGCAGCACCAATATCCCCTCTCCTTGCACAGCCGCTGATCATCGCCGACCATGCCACGGCGTCCTCACGCGCCCTGCAGTCAAACAGAGCATCTGCAACACCCAGCTCTCCGCAGCTCGCGTGCATGCCGATGAGCGCGTTCTTGACGAACGCGTCGGACTCCAGTCCAGCCTTCACGACGTGGCCGTGCACCTGCGCCCCGGTGCCACCCGCGCCCATGGCGGTGCACGCCCGGAGCACGAACGGGAAGGTGATCTTGTCGGGCCTCACGCCGCAGCTGCTGAGCCGCGCCATGCGCGCGTAAAGGGAGACGGCGTCCCGGGGCGCGGAGGTGTGCGCGGCGCCGCGGATGAGGGTGTTGTACATGAAGAGGTCCGGGTGCGGGATTTGGTCGAACACGTGGTAGGCGTGGGCGATGGCGCCGCGCACGGCGACGGCGGACGCAAAGAGGAGCTCGCGGAGCGCGGAGGGGTCAGAGAGGAAGCCCCGGAGGACCAGCAGCGTGTGGACCTGCTTGATTTGGCGGAGGCTACGGCACCGCCGCCACAGCGCCGGCTGCCGGCGCTGGGTGCCGGACTTCCGCAGCATCTGCGTTGTGTGCCTGTCAAATTGCGACAGAGCGCGGCGAGTGCACTTTTCCCCTAGAACTAGCAAGTGGCCATAAGCACGCTCATGCGGTCATGCCTCGCTGGTAACACAAAACTCCCACATTAGATTATTTTTTGGCAGGGACCATACGAAATTTGATTCTTATTATGGGAATAGATTGATTAGTACTAGAACTGAATTATACAAGAAAGTTTTTAAAGTATTTCTTATGACTATGTTTATAGAGAAAAAATGATGCAGTTGAACTTAGAAACTATTATTTTGCCTTTTAGTACTACTACTAGTTTTTTCAACACGGTACGAACGTAGACGCTCATATATACGTGCATACACTCACACTTATAAATAGGCACACGCACACCTATCCCTACGAGCACCGATAAGAGACTGAATCAACACATCATCTTGAAATCGGTGAAGTCATCACAATCGCTTTTGTAGTCGACGGGAACATCTCTTCCCACAGCACATCGCCGAAAGATCTGAAATAAATTCAGAAAAACGCGAGTATCAATATCAGGACTTAAATTCTGATGGATTGGAATACCATTGTCCTAACCATTCAACTAAAGGTTGGTCGCGCCTTTTCTTAATGTTCAACCAAACAAAGTTTGATGCAAACACAATCTGAATCAACTGGGCATGATACTGTAGTGATATGTTTTTCTTATTCACGTATTTATGGAATCATGCAAATCAAAGCTAAGATCCCCTAAAGCTTTGGTTGTAATTTTTCTTTTTTGTGTAGGCCTGATTGTAAGGTCATGCGAACTTTAATATATGGACTTAGGCCTTTTCGCAACAACAACAAAAAAAGCTAAAATCACTTAATCTCATAAATAAAATTCTTCTTCAAAAGGCCCAAGGCCAAATATTAAGTATTACAGGCCCTTTCAAACACGCTGACATAGAAAAATTAAATTTACATTCAAATCCTTGGGTATGCTAAAGTCTTCTTCCTCTGCATCCACCGACGACGCGTCGTGAGCATAGCTCGATGTCGCTCTGGGCTTTCACCTCAAAGAAGCAAGCTTTTCTAAACCGATGAGCTTGTAGAAGCATCGGTCGGGAAGTCATTGATCTACACTAGAAGATGCCGGCGATTGCAGTTTGCGAAGCAAAATCGCCATCTTATTTAAGAAAATACCGATAAGGACATATAGAAACTCCGTAGACTATGAAAGTCAAAAGAATCCAAATGTATCCGGCCAAAAATGTAAGCCTGCTAGATCCTAGAAGAAAATCGAAGACATGGCTCCACATGTCCTCCGCCGATGATAACACACCAACCAAACTGGCAAAACATTACTCATAAAACTGGAACTTCCTAAAGTAAATCCGAAGAAGAAGAAAACATGCCGCTGCATGATAGGGCCGAGTCTAATATCGAGCTTGTCACCATCCGGGACCATGCATCGACGCCCGCTTCTCCGATGTCCGGGCATGACCGTCCCACTGGATATGTGAACCTCCGACCAATGTCGGCTTCACCAGCGCCGCCAGCGAGCATCACCTGCCGACAGTCGTAATCCGACCACTCATCGTCGTCGCCCTCCTCCATATTGGGCTCCCCACAAGCAGCAGCCTCCCTGTCAGTGTAGCACCCTAGCGGCGGCGGCGAGAGGGATCGAATCATGTGTGACGGCACCCTCCCCGCCGGTGTCGCACGCTGGCGGCGGCAAGAGGGATCGAATCATGTGTGACGAAAATACTACCCTTAGAAAACACCCAAAAAAGACAATTGCATACATTTGTCACTTTTGAAATGTGCAATAAATACTTAGGCTCAAGAACAAACACGAACTATAAAGTGATCTAGAAGCAATACAAACATGGTACGATGGTAACAACGGACGAGCAACGTCCATGGCGAATCGATCAACACCCTCTCCACTCTGCCTACATATACGAGTTTATCACAGTTGCCAAGCTAAATCGAGCCTGTCATAACGCGCCGGCCGTCCGGCCAGCCAGCCACCGGAGCGTCCATCACCGTCGCCGGAACCAGGTCAAGATCAGGCGAGCGGCGCCCTGGAGACGCGGACCTTGAGGCCGTGCGCCATGGAGAGGATGGTCATCATGCGGTACTTGACGGGGTGGCCCTCCACGAGCTCGAACCTGAAGAACCTGCACAGGATGGCCAGCGCCATCTTCATCTGCAGGTACGCCGAGTCCTTGCCGAGGCAGATCCGCGGCCCCGCCTGGAACGCCGTGAACTTGAACGGCGACGCGTTGCGGAACGCGCCGTCGTCGCCGATCCACCGCTCCGGCCGGAAGCTGGCGGCGTCGGGGCCCCAGTTGTACTCCATCCGCCCCATGGAGTAGGGCACGTACGTCACCATCCCGCCGGCGCGCACCTTGGTGCCGTCCGGGAGCACGTCGTCCTCCGCGATGCCCTTGGGGTCCTGCGGCACCGCCGGGTACAGCCGCAGCGTCTCCGTCACGCACGCGTGGAGGTACACCAGCTTCCCGAGTCCGTCGTAGCTCAGGAGCCCCGCGAACTGCGCCACGCGGGCGGCGAAGGCCTCGTCGGCGCCCTCGCCGTCGCTGCAGGGGACCAGAGCGACGCCATCCTCGCGGGCGCGATCCGCCTCGAAGGCGGCCAGCTCGCGGCGGAGCTTCTCGGCCACGGCCGGGTGCGTCATGGCCATGTAGGTGAACCAGGACAGCGTCGTGGCCGTGGTGTCCCGCCCGGCGATCACGAAGTTGAGCACCACGTCGCGGAGGCCCTTGTCGTCCCCGAACAGGCTGCCGCCGTCGTCGCCGCCGGCCTCGCCCAGCTCGATGAACCGCGACAGTATGTCGTGCTTGATCTGCGCACCCAGTTAACGTGTCAGTGATCAATGGCACCTACTACACAAACCAGCGATCCGGAGCTTGACGAATGACGATGATCACGCACGCACCTTCTCCTGCTTGCCGCTGGCCCGGGCCTGCACGATCTCGGCCTTGCGGCGGCGGATGACGCTGTAGGTGAACTCGTCGACGAGCTTGATGCTCTGCTCCAGCAGCGCCTCCGAGCCGACGTGCAGGAACTTCTTCACGCGCCACAGCGGGTCGATGAACCGCAGCGTCACGATGATGTTGGCGGCGTCGAACGCCTGCGCGAAGCTGTTCTCCGGCAGCTCCGGCGACAGCGTGCCGATCTCGACCCCGAATCCGACCTTGCAGATCGAGTCCAGCGTCATCCTCATGTACAGCTCCTGAATTCGTCCGCTCGCGTCAGAATCTTGAAATTTTGTCCAAGAAATCAACGTTCATATGACCAAGGGAATGAGTTCAGTTGCCTGCATGTCCACGACTTTGCCGGCCTTGCAAGCCTGGCTCAGGATGCTGGACAGCTTCAGGGAGTACTCCCTGAACACGATCGTGCTGAAGTCTCTCAGGTTCTTGGAAGCGAACTCGAAGCTCGCCGTCTTCCTCTGCTTCCTCCAGAGCTCGCCGTCGGCGTTGAATATGCCGTCGCCGAGCAGCACGTCCATGTAGGACCTGTACACCTCCCCCTAGACATACAATTTCAGATTTCAGACATTTGTAACACTGTCAGTACCGATTACTGAACCTTGTCTGACATCTCGAGGATTGTTTCACCTTGGGGTAATTGTTGAAATTGGTCTTGAGCACATGCTCGACGTTCACGGGGTCGGCGATGTAGGTGTAGGAGGTGAAGGGCATGTCGACGGTGACCGTCCGGTGCTTGGACAGGTACTCCACGAGCCAGTCGTGCATCCGGTAGTAGTTCCTCAGCTGCTCCAGCGTCGCGCCGATGACCGGCCATGACCTCGGCCCCTTCTGCTTCCTCAGGCTCCACCAGTGGACCAAGATCCACGAGAGGAACACGAGGAAGATGGCCATGAACTTGTGGAGCCCTGCCAGCGGGAAGAACGCCGTCGTCGTCGACGGCATGCCATGGTGAGCTTCCTCCATGGGGCTGCTCATCAAGTGGGTTCAGTCTACAGGAGGATTAATTCTATGTAGCATTTGGATGGCTCGGTTAGGCAATATATTGGGCATTAGTGGCGCCGAGCACCAAACAATCTTGGTGTGGCCGAGAATTAAGATTGCCTCATCCACATGGCGTCCCTAACCTAACCCCCTGACTAGATGGAACCTACCGTTTGTGTCCTTTTTGTGATCTGCTGACCAAGAAAACACTCATTTTTATATGCATAACTAGGTATGTTAGTATGTGCTTGGTGCTAAGCTAGGTCATGGATTCTGCATTTTCCTTCTGTTTTACTATAAATGTAGGTGATGCACTGATGCATTTTTATTTCGTTTTGCGGGGGATGTAGGTGATGCGTTTGATGACAGTTAGCGTTGTGATTATGTCATCTTCACAGTTGGAGCCATGGAGCCATGGTTATGGTCCATCTGGTCTTTATTGAACCCGCACTAACCAATACAAAGTGCATCTTTCAGTGAAACAGTTTTTGAAGTCAAAGCAGAACAAGTTGAGAAATTTCGAATGAAGGGGTGTCAACTGTCAAGGGGTGCTCTGATGTTCTCCCTAAATGGAAAAAGCCTGAAAATCACAAATATAAAAAATCTTGCTGAAAGTTCCCCCTTCTATATTTATTAGAAATTTGTAGCAGAAGCTAAACAGAAGAAAATTTTGATGAAAGTGGTCACCTTCTATTTATTAGAAGCTTGAAACAGAAAAGATCGCAAATATTAAAAACCTTGCAATATGCCGAGGCATCTAGTGCTGCCAAATAAATATGTTCCACAGATGAGAACACTTTTATCATATATATGCTCTACTAAATAGTACTCCCTAACATTGCATTCCAAAACTTTCAAGCTGGCCGTTTTCTGTTGGTACTACCGTAGCAGCTGTGGATGATGTACAACTAATGAAGATCACTTCTAATTTGACAAGTATCAGATGAAGATAATTCATGTCTCCATGGCAAACAATGAAAGAATAACCGAACAGTGTATTCCTGCACCTTTCAAGTTGATCACAATTGATCTCTATCAGCTGAGAATTATGTATAGGGCAGAGTTCACTCCTAAATCCCAGTCCAATGTACTTTAAAGATTATCATCACTTGATAAATGACATGTATACAGTGGGAGTTCATGACAAACATGTCTCAATGCCAAACACTGAATGAATAGCCCAACATTGCTAAGATTATCAAGTTGAGCACAATTGGAGTATGTGTAAGGCACAATTTCATTCCTAATCCATTGCTTTGAAGAACATCACTTGATAAATGGAGTGAATCGCGAAAAACCACCACATTTGGGGCTTCATCTACGGAAAACCACCAGGTCACTAATTTTTTGCAAAAATCACCGCGGATTCGGTAAACATTTTGCAAATCGCACTGATCAGGTGATTTGGCTCATTTGATCACTTTCTGACAAGTGGGACCAGATTGTAAGGAGCTGACTTGGCATAACATTTACACACACACCCTTAGATCTAAAAAGAAAAAGCAATCAACCCCTCTTTTGCACAACTGCCAGAGAGAGGAGAGGAGGAGGCGTTCCCGGCGAGGCCGACCTCGTCGGCGCAGACGGCCGCGCAGTGGAGGAGGCCCCTGCGGAGAGCTCCTCGATGGTGCCGGTGGGATCGGGCCCATGCGCCGCCGCGCGGTTGCTCGGCCATGGCCTCGCGCTCATGTGCTGCTGTCCACGCCACGCACAGGCAGCGGAGGAGCTCACCATCGTTGGTCGCTGCTTGCTCCGGTGATGCGTCCGAGCTGCACGCCGCTGCTTGTGCTCGTGCTGTGCTCCGCTTCTTGCTCTGGTGTTCTGCGCTGCCGCCGCTGCTTGCTCCGGGATTGCGCGCCACCGGCCGGGGAAAGAGAGGAGGGAGGAAGGAGAAAGGGAGGCGTGGGTGCATCGCCGTGCGGCTTGGGGCCCCGTGCTTGCTACCCAGGAGAGGAGCGGGGCCGGGGTTGTAGCAGCTTGGGGCCGGCCCGCGCGGGGCAGGGGCTGGGGTCGTAGC